TTTGGAGGTGGAGTCAAGATGGCAGAGAATAGGCAGCAGCTCAGCTGAACTCTTCCTGAATTTTTCCCTCTAAAACCTTTAAAATAAAGACTCAAATGAAATACCAGAGTGGCAGAGCCAACAAAAGTTGGGCTGAAGCACTTCTCCAGCCCAACACAACTTAGGATGGCACCAGGAAAAGTCTGAGGCACTGGGGTGGTGGTAGACTTGGAGCACAATGCAAGTTGCCACAACACCAGCATCAGGCCTTGGATGTATCTGTGACAGTGGCAGCAGCTTTAGGAGCTCTCAGCCCACAAAAGCTAAGGGGGTCAGACAACTGGTCAGAAAAAAATTATAGGAGATCCTTTGCTGGCACTAAGCGCAGAACCCTATTGCATTGTCTATAGACAGTTTTAAAGCACAGTTCCAGGGTGAAAAGGAGCACCAGCACTTGTAGCTGTAGGGATACAGGGGCCCTGTCCACAGTTCCAAGATAGAAAAGAGTGCTTGTGGTCACTCACAAGGGATCAGGGGCCATGGACTTAGTTCCAAGGAAGTAAGGAGCACTAGTGCTTGTGGCTGTAGGACTGCAGGGAACCTATTCACAGTTCCAGGGCCAAGAGAAGCACTAGCACTATGGCTACAAAGGAACATGGTCTCTTCCTGGGTAAAGACCAGAGTATAGGCCAGGAGAGCAGTGACCACATCTTCCTTGAATCACTTTAAAAGCACTAAAAACTTGCAGATCACCAAAACTAGCTCTGAAAACAGCAGCACAAAAAACCTGGAGCTTGGGACAGTGTCCCCTGTATCCCAGGAGCATAGTCCAATTTTAAGATAAAGTTCCTAGTCAAGAAATATGCTAGGAAAATGAGCAAATAATAACAACAAAAAAAGAATCTTACCATAGAAACTACTATGGTGACAGGGAAGATCATGACAAAAATGCAGACGAAGACGATGTCAAAAAAGCAAAGACTTAAGGGAAAAAAATACTGTAAATTGGGCTCAAGCCCAGCAAGAATTCCTGGTAGAGCTCCAAAAATATTTTAAAAATCAAATAAGAAAGGTAGAGGAAAAACTAGGGAAATCAATGGGATTGATGGCAAGAAAATCATGAAAAGAGAGTCAGCGGTTTAGTAAAAGAGGCACAAAAATAATTCAAGAAAACAGCACATTAAAAAACAGAATTGACCAAATGGAAAAAGTGATACAAAAATTCACTGAAGAAAAGGACTTAAAAAGTAGAATTAGTTGAATGAAAAAGAGGTAACAAAATCTCGTGGAAGAAAATAATTTCTTAAAAATCAGAATTGGGGAAGTGGAAGCTAATGATGCCATGAGACATCAAAAAATAATCAAATGAAGTCAAATGAATGAAAAAGAGAAGAAAATGTGTAAAATCTCATTGGAAGAAAAACTGACATGAAAAATAGATGGAGGAGAGATAATTTACGAATTATTGGACTACCTGAAAGCCATAATAAAAAAGAGTTTAGATGTAATATTTTAAGAAATTATCATAGAAAAATGTCCTGATATCCTAGAACTAGAGGATAAAATAGAAATTGAAAAAATCCACCAATCACTTCCTGAAAAAGATCCCAAAATAAAAATGAAAACTCCCAGGAATATTACAGCAAAATTCCAGAGCTCCAATTTTAAACTATGCCCAAAGGGCTATAAAACTGTGCATATCCTTTGATCCAGCAATACAAGTATTTGGTCTGTATCCCAAAGAGATCATAAAAAGGAGAAAGGACCCACAGGTACAAAAATATTTATAGCAGCTGTTTTTGAGGTGGCAAAGAATTGGAAACTGAGGGGGTACCCATCAATTAGGGAATGACTGAACAAGTTGTGGTATAGAAATGTATTGGAATACTATTATGCTATAAGAAATGATGAGCAGGTGAATTTCAGGAAAAAACCTAGAAAGATTTACATAAACTGATTCTGAGTGAAATGAGCAGAACCAGGAGAAGATTGTACACAGTAACAGCAACATTGCGTGATCAACTATGATCATCTCAGCAATACAATGATTCAAGACAATTCCAAAAGACTCATGATGGAAAATGCTATCCACATCCAGAGAAAGAACTATGATGTCTGAATGCAGATTAAAGCACACTATTCTCATTTTTCTTTTGTTTTTTTTCTCATGGTTTTTTTTTCTTTTGTTCTGATTCTTCTTTCACAACATAACTAATGTGGAAATATTTAATATGTTTGCACATATATAACCTATATCAGAATGCTTGCTGCCTTGGAGAGGAGGGGAGAGAAGAAAGGTAGGAAGGGAGGAAAATCTGGGACTCAAAACTGTATAAAAATAAACATTGAAAACTATCTTTACACGTATTTGGAAAAGAAATAAAATACTATTAGGTACAAAAAGAAAAGAAAATTCCAGAGCTCCCACATCAAGGAGAAAATGTTGCAAGCAGATGAAATAAAGCCATTCAAGATGATACAAGATTTAGTAGTGTCCACATTAAAGAAGTAGAGGGTTTAGAATATGATATTCTGGAAGGCAAAGGAGCTGAGATTACAACTAAGAATAACCTACCCAGAAAAACTAAGTGTAATTTTTTTTTGGCGGGGGGGAAATGAACATTTAATGAAATAGACAACTTTCAAGCTTTCCTAATGAAAAGAACAAAGCTGAATAGAAAATTTGACATTCAAACACACGACTCAAGAGAAGAATAAAAAGTAAACATAAAAGAGAAATCATAAGGAGCTCAATAATGTTAAACTGTTTGCATTCCTATATGGGAAAATGATACATGCAACTCCTCAGAACTGTATAATTATTAAGACAGTTAGAGACAGAGGGCACATGAATGAGTTGATTATGTTGAGATGATCTCAAAAAATGGGGAGAGGGGATTATCTTACATAAAAGAGACACAAAAGAAAAAACTTTTAAAGTGGAGGGGGAAATGGAGGAGGGGTGGAGGGCAATGCTTGAACCTTACTCTCATTGGAATTGGCTTAAAGAAGGAATAACATACACACTCAGATGGGTAGAGAAATCTATCTTGCCCAATAGGGAAGTAGGGGGGAAAGAAGATAAGAGAAGGAAGAGTATATTAAAGCAGGCATTGGTCAGAAGCAAAACAGACTTTTGAGAAGGGACAGGATAAAAGAGAGAAAGAGAGAAGGATAAATAGGGTAAAATAGGATAGAGGGAAATAAACACTAATTGGGACTGTGGGAGGGGGACAACTAGGGGGTGCAGTTGAAAGAGTGGCAGGCCTGGAGTCAGGAAGACTTATGTTCCTGAGTTCAAATTTGACCTCAGACACTTATTAGCCATATGACCCTGGGCAAGTCACTTGACCCTGTTTGCCTCAGTTTCCTCATCTGTAAAATGAACTGGTGAAGGAAATGAGAAACCACTTCAGTGTCTTTGCCAAGAAAACCTCAAATGGGGTCACAAAGAGTCAGACATGACTGAAACATCTAAACAGCAACGAATCGTAACTGAGGCAACTAGATGGTGCAGTGGATAGAATGCCAGGTCTGGAGTCAAGAAGACCTGAGGGGTAGTAATCATGAACTTAGACAAAGCAAAAGCAAAAATAGACATAATTAAAAGAGATAGGCAGAGAAACTATATTTTGCTAAAAGGTACAATAACAATGAAGTAATATCAATAATAAAGATATATGCACTAGTGGTGCATGTCAACATTCCCGTCTCAGAACTAGATAGATCTAACCGTGAAATAAATAAGAAAGAAGTTAAGGAGAAGAATAGAATGTTAGAAAAGTTTTATATGATAGACCATGGCCTTTGGTGTAGTCTTTTGACTGAATCCAAACTTCACGGAACAAATCCCCTAATTAAAGGGATTTGTTCTACAAAACTTGGACTCAGTGAAAAGGCCACACCTAAGATCCTAGAAAGCCACATGGGATTTCAAGGCTCAGGTTCCTCACCCCTTTATAGACCTTTGGAGAAAATTGGAGGGAAACAGAAAGGAGTATATCTTTCTCTTAGCAGTACATGGCACCTTCACAAAAATTAACCATGTATTAGGGTAATAAAACCTCACAAACAAATGCAGAAAAGCAGAAATATTTATATGAATCTTTTTCAGACCATAATGTAATATAAATTATATTCAATAAAGGACTTGTGATAAAAAAATATATCCACCTTCAGTGAAAGAACTGACAGAATCTGAATGAAGATTGAAACATAATTTCTTCATTTTATTTTTATTGGGTTTTTTTTTTTTGCAAAATGGCTAACATGGAAATCCAATTTGAATGATTTCACATTTTTTACATTCAACAATCAGTAGGAGGAGGAAAGGGAAGAAGAGAATTCAGGAATTCAATTTTTTTAAATGAATGCTAAAAATAAATAATGATTTTTTTAAATTATCATTTTATTAGCCTCAGTTGAGGACTCAGAACCTCTTGGGAAATCCAGGGTCAGGGAAGAGGCAGTACTATCAGGGAAGTACATGTCAGTTGTTCCCTCTGTCCAACCATGGTAACTATCACCAACACACAGTCCCCCAGAAATCTACAATGCAAACACATTAGACTGGACATGAGGGCCAAGAAAGATATCCCACCTCCCCTTTTTTATCCAGCAACCCCACCCCACACATGAGGTCAATGGCATTTCCCTGGGCCTGAGCTCATGGAATAGTACTTCCCTAGGTGAGCAAAGTTCTCCAAGTGACTCATTTGGAGAGGACAGAGGAAATCAGTGCTTCAGAGAACTACATTAGGATCTGGGGGTTCCAGAAAGCCAGTCAATATTCAGGAATGTCTATCAGAAACCACAGCTTTAGAGGACTGACCAAGAAATCCAACACTCTGGAATGCTAGCTAAGAGTGCAGTACTCCAGAACATTTGGGAAAACTAACTAAAGACCCAACACTCTGGAACATAAAACCAAGAACCCAAATTCCAGATCACAGAGCAGGAACCACAGACAGAGTTCTAGAATACCTATACTCCACTCACAGTTCAGTAGATGGCCTCAACCTTTACTCGTCTGCTTGGTCTAAGTCAGGCACACGGAATGAGACATAGGGACATACTTGGACATTGAGACAAACTAGTTTCTGCAATGTGGCTGTCTTGACAATATTGAAGCCAGTCTCACCACCAAATGTGCTTGGCTTCCAGTAATCAGGAGAGCATATCGGGTTCCCCAAGAGCCCTTTGAGGGAGAAGGGGGCCCCAATCTCCACTATGCTCTCCCCAAAGATAGAATTAGGCAGAGATTTCTCTAGAAGTAAGCCTGGGTAGAACTCCAAGGCATCAATGTCTCCATATAGCTCCTCCAGCTCTGCTGAATTCTGCTTCTCTCCTACAAAGAGGGAAGGAGGAAACAGATCAGATCAGCTCCTCCCCATATCCTGGAAATAAAAAGGCATATGCCCATGGCAACATTGGGAAGTAACCTTCCCTGTTCACCCTTAGAGGCAGTGTGGTCTATGAGAAAGAACATAAATAGACTTGGGATCAGACATTTTGGTGGAGTAGTGAGTAGAGTGTCAGACCTGGAGTCAAAGTCCTAAATTCTACCTCAGATACATAGTAGCTGTAGGAATCTGAGAAAGCCACTTAACCACTCAGCCTGTTTCCTCATCTGTGTAACGAAAATAATCACAGCTCCTGCCTCACAGAGTTGTTTCAGGAATCAAGTGAGATGATAAGTCTAAGATAAGCTAAGATACAGCACTTTTTAAACCTTGAAGTGCTATATAAGTGTAAATTATTATTATTATTATTATTATTATTATTATTATCATCATCATTATCATCATCATCTTAGATTTCTCACTTCTAAGACATATTGGGCAAGGCACTCAATATAGAGGTAGCATGCCATAGTAGCTACAGCTTGGGTTTTGGAGTCAGGAAGATCTGGGTTCAAATCCTGCTTCAGACATTCTGGGCAAGTCATTTAACCTCTATGTGTCTTAGTTTCCTCATTTGTAAAATAAGAGGGTTGGACTCAAAGACATCTAAGGACCCTTCCAGTTCTAAATCTGTGATTCTATGAGCCTGTGATCTGTATGTGAAACTTAGTTTCTTCTTCTGAAAAACAGGTACAACATCAGCCCTTCCTTTAACCCAGGAGTATTAGGCTAGGACTGGGATCAAATGCCCAATTGGGGCATGGGATTTTGGGGGGAAACACACTATAGGCAACAGATAACATGAACAAAGAATTGCTTATTTTCAGGAAAGATTAAAATGAACACTATCTAGGAAGTTCTTGAAATCTATCATCTTACGAATGTATCAATAGTTAGAAATTGAATCTCTGTAAAGGAATTTTATTTTAAAACTACGACAAAGAAAACTGAAGCTACCAGGAGCTAAGGAGACAAAACAGAAAGGGTAAAGAAAAGGATAAGGACAGTAGCAGTCTGTGTTTCCTGATACCCCAGTTTGTTCAAAGATCAACAAAATTGAGTGGTACTCAGAGCCCATACTGGCCAACTCCTATATCAGACCATGCATTAAATGACGAAATAAGGGTGTACAAAATGCTTACATCATTAAGCATCCAAGCTACTTTGGATTCCCAAGGCCGTGGCTCAAGGAGAGGCCAAGAACTAAAAACTAAATATGTCAAGACAAGTGAAATGTAACATGGCTAATTAGCAATCTTTCAAAAATTGTTCTACATCCCAATGAGGCTTGAATGTTAACCTCCCACATAAGCTTCTGAATTCTGTTCTGGTCATTCTACAGTGTTCACTTATGATTCTCTTGTGTTTATCATGGCTTTCTTCAAATGGGAATAAATTACCTCTCCTATTCCCAATTCATGTTGGTACTTTTAGTACCTCTTTTACTTTCACCCCTCTCTTGGGAGAGGAACCCTAGGCTCCAGCCCAAAAAAGACATGTCCCAGATATGGGAGCCCACTCTGAGGAGCATCCAGGCATCTTTAGCAATGAATTTGGCATACAAGCAGATGGCTAGATTATAGAACAGGAAAAGTCAGGTACCCTGAGCTTCAGTAAGTCCTAGTAGCAGTTGCCTGTAGCCCCCATGCTAGACAAATGGAACAGATTAGTAATGGCAGTAGTAGTAGTAGAAGTAGCAGTAGCAGTAGCAGTAGTAGTAATAGTAGTAGTAGTAGTAGTAATAATAGTAGGAGGAGGAGGAGAAGGAGGAGGAAGAGAAGAAGGAAGAGAAGGAGAAGGAGGAGGAGGAGGAAAAGAGGAGAAGGAGGAGGAGCAGGAGGAAGTAATAGTAATATGCCCCTCCTAAAGTCTTCCCTTTGAGACGTCATTTTATTTGAAGGTGACCCTGAAGACCCAAAGTCCAAGCCCCTAAGACACAAGTGTCTGTAGGTCCTACACCAAGTTGAAAAGGGTTCAATTTTGTTCCCAGCAATAAGACCATCCATCTATTGTCCAACAAACAGCCCACCTAAGTATAGGTGATCAAAATTATACCATAGAAGCTCAGGAAGACCATTTACTATATACCAAAGGATAGAGGCTAGCACTTCTCCCTATCCCTCCCAAACAAGAAAGGATCCTTGAAATCTTACAATTATTAATATTATTACTGTTATAATTCATCCTTATTCCCACAGCCTCCTTCTCCCTCATTCCATTCTAATGCCCACCCCACAATATGATGGTTCCTTCTTCCCAGACAAGAAACTTGGGGTCAGAGGCTGGGAGAAGCCAGATGGGGTGTCACTAACCTGTGAGCTCCTCAAAGGAGGTGTAGGGTTTCAAGTCAAACTGCTTACGGTATTCATTGAAGGACTGTAGCCTCAGCTCCCGTGACTCCTTAATGGTGCTCACAGTCACATCTAACACATTGCTGTTGATGTTCCTGACCCCACCAATCTGGGGAAGAAGAGGCACAGTCATGTCACCACCAGAGAGAAGGAACCATGAACAAACTTTAAAAAAAATCTATGATCTATGATTTTGGTTCATTAAAAGTAAAGGTTGGTGAGTAAGGAACCCAACCATAGCTATTCATTCCTATGTGTAGTAGTGCTCATAAGTTCTAAAACTGGCAGGAACCATAGGGATCATCTAGTCTGATTTTGGCAGCTGAGTGGCATAGTGGATACAGTGCTGAGCCTGGAGTAAGGAAGATTACTTCTCTTGAGTTCAAATCCAGCCTCAGATACTTACTAGCTGTGTGACCCTGGGCAAGTCATATAACCCTGCTTGCCTCAGTTCCTCATCTATAAAATGAGCTGGAGAAGGCAATGGCAAATGACTATCTTTGCCAAGAAAACTCCAAATGGTTCATGAAAAGTCAGAAATGACTGAAATGGTTGGACAACAAAAAGAACAATGGTCTGACCTCCTCCTCCCCTTTCTACACATGGGGAAACTGAAACCGAGAAAGGTTAAGTGACTTGCCCAATATCAACTGAAAATGGTAGTGCTGGGATGCGAAAACCTGAGTCTTCTGACTCTGATTCCAGGCTCTTTTGTCATATCACACTAATTATAAGGAATAAATTCATCAGTTGAAAAGTGTCAGTGGGTTTCCTACAGAAAATTTTTTTTCCTTATTTTTTTAAAGCAGAGGTGAATGGGAGAGAATCCTCTTTTGCAGTTACCTGTGCCTTTGGGGAGCCTTGCTATTGTGACTGCAAAGCCGAAAGTCAGAAGGCAGAAACCACCAGCTACATCCACCTGGTGGCAGCATATTAACTGCAGAGGAAATAGCCAGGAGTCAATAAATGCCATGGGACTAGACTTGAAAAGCCAAGCCTTTCAGAAGATCATGGATTTAGGTCTGGAAGGGACCTAAAAGGTCATCTAATTCAGCCTTTTCAGCTTTACAGATGAGTAGACTGAGTCTCAGAGGCAGGTGCCTTGCCCAGAATCACACAAGTAATAAGTGGTAAGGCTAGTCATTGAATCCAGGTTATAATAATAATAATAATGGTAATAATAATAGCTGGTATTTATATAGTATCTTTAAGTTTGCAAAAAACAATCTACAAATATTATCTCATTTGATCCACACAACTCTGAGAGATAGGTACTATTATGGTCCCATTTATACTTGGGGAAACTGAGGCAGACCGAAGCTAAGTGACTTGCCTGGAGTCACACAGATAGCCAATATCTGAGGTCACATTTGAACTCAAGTCTTCCTGACTCTAAGCCCAGCAATCTATTCACCGCACCACTGAATTCACTATACATTCTCCTCTAATAATGTTATAATTTGGGGCATTTCTGGGGGAAAATAGTAGAATTGATATTTGGACCAATATACTGCTTTGGGGCCTGAAGTATACCAAACACTTTTATGTATGTCTACCTTCCTCGTAGGATTGTTACAAAGAAAGCAACTGGTAAACCCGAAAGTCATATTAAAATGTAGGTTATTATTACTTCACTTAACCTTCATATTTGTTATTCTTTTCTTTTTTTTGTTATTTCTTTTCTTCTTTACAGATGATGAAACTGAGGTTCAGAGAGGGGAAACCCAAGGACTCCAGCCCAGGCTTCATAGGATGATGGTATTGAAGAGCTAGAGAGCATTTAAAAGGTTACTTCAGGGGCAGCTAGGTAGCGCAGTGGATAGAGTACCAGTCCTGGAGTCAGGAGGACCAGAGTTCAAATCCAGCCTCAGACACATAACACTTACTAGCAGACCCTAGGCAAGTTACTTAACCCCAATTGCCTCGCCAAAAAAAAGTCACCTCACCCAAAGGCCTTCCTTTGATAGACAAGGCTCTGGGCCCCTGAGAGTGACCTGCCCAAAGACACATAAGTAGTAAGCTGGGATTTGAACCCATGTCCTCTCACTCCAAATTCAGTACCTTTTCTACACTACCATTTTTCAGGGTATATCCACATATTTTTGTTTCTTTTCATAGGATCTCATTTTAGGGGTATTTTGTTTATTTGGAGCAATATCATGATACTATTGTACTACAAACTATTGAATATTGCTGCTGGTGGCATTGTAATCTCTACAGAGCAATCCTCTCTATCCTCCTCCACATGTACCTTTTATGTTTTGCTTTGTTTTGTTGTTGTTGCTGTGGTTGTTGTGGTTATTTTTTAACTAGGCTATAGGGTTAAGTGACTTACCCAGAATCACACAGCTAGTGACTATCATGTGTCTGAGGCCAGGTTTTGAACTCAGGTCCTCCTGACTCCAGGGCCAGTGCTCTATCCACTGTGCTACTTAACTGCCCCTACATATACCTTTTTTTACGCTAGACCTGTGATTGTATTGGTATAAAGTACTCCCAGTGAGAAAATTCCCTCTACCAACACAGATCAGCACCTACTCTGCAACTTATTATTGCCTGAGAGCACTGAGAGGTTCAGTGCCTTGCCCAGGGTCATACATCCAGTGGGCATCAGGTAAGGGACTTGAACCCAAGTCTACCGGACTCTAAAAGTCACCTGTCAAGCCACTACACCACAGCTGCCTGTCCTATAGGAACCATAAATGTGTTCTGAATTTACCGGCTTCTAGGGATTACATTTGCAGTTGGGATCTGCTGCCACCTGGTGGTTGAGACTGGTAGTACCTGGTTTAGGGTTTTACATAGTCAATAGCTAGTCTTCTTCCCACAGAGTAAATCAATCAATCAACAATAACTATAGCTATCGTCTATACAGTGCTTTATGGGTTGCAAAGTGCTTTATATGTGTTAACTCATTTTAGCTGCACAACAATTCTGTGAGGTAAGTGCTATGTATTACCCCCATTTTACAGATGAGGAAGCTGAAGCTGATCAGGAATAAGTGACATGCAGAGGATCACATAGTTAGGAAGAATCTGAGGCAGGATTTGAACTTGGGGCTTCCTGATTCCAAATCCAGAACTTAGTCCACTGCACCAGCCTGCTTCCACTAACAAGTTTTGGTACAGTAGTGAATAGATTGCTGGACTCCTCTTACCATTTGTGTGACCTTTAGCAAGTCATATAACCTCTCTCAGCCTGTTTTCTTATTGGTAAAACTGGAGCGATAAATAGGACCCACTTAACAGGTGTTGTGAGGATCAAATGAGACAATATGGGTCACCTTAAAATGTTATATGATTGAGAAATAATAATATTATTATAAGTACAAAAAATGAGTTAATTCCTACTTCTAAGGTGCTAACTGAATAAATGACTGATTTCTCAGTCAACTACGTTTTTTGAAAAAGTCAAAAAAGTAAATTTCCTCATTGCAACAACAAACACTTGTATCCTGAACCGTACCTTCTTGTGACAGAGACAGGATCCAAAGCCAAGCCTTCTGAACCCACTGCCATTGCTTTTTCCATCGCTGCCTCATTTTGGTAATGGCAGAGGTGGGATGCGAGAGTGGGAATGGGGGGGTCAACCCTGTCCTGGGACCTACCTGGCCTGCCCTCTGTCGGGAGAAGGCTTCCACCAGGGCTTCCACACCATAGTCCAAAAGCATGGAGGTGTTGAACACAAACTGCTCATAGCTGTATTCCTGTTGTCCCACCACAAAGGAGTCAGGCATGAGAGGGTGCCAGTGGTAGAGATGGTTAAACTCCACAGAGATGCGGTTTTGATACTGAAACTGGACTCCAAAAAGCATTTCTGGGTCAAACTTCAACTTCAAGAAGTAGCCACTGAGGTGCTGCACATAATCCTCAGTGACGATCTTGATGGTCTCCCCTAGAGGGATTGATCAGGACAGAAGGGTCAGAGGACAGAGAGGCAACAGGCCATGGCTCATGCCTCCCTTTCTTGACCTGAGCTAGGTCATGCATGAGGCAGTGTCCAGAGAGGCAAAGTAATGTCATACAGAGACTACCAGATTTGGGAGGTCAGACAACCTGAGTTCATGTCCTTGGTCTGCTACTTACTCCCTCTGAGACCTTGGGTAAATTCCTTGACAGTCAGGCCTCAATGTTCTTATCTGTAAAATGAGACGGTTGAACTAGGTAATCTCTGAAATCTCAAATCTAGGATCCTATCTGGGCACTCCAGACCCTCCTGACCCCTCAAATTCCTTAAAAGGCTCAAAAGGCAGGTTCTTCAAGGGTCTCAGGCACCATCACACAAGGGAAAACCAACCCCTGGTCTCAGAAGAGGCAAAGGTCAGAGCAGCTAGGTGACGCAGTGGACAGAGCTCCAGCCATGGAGTCAGGAAGACCTGAGTTCAAATCTGGCCTCAGACACTTGGCACTTACTAGCTGTGTGACCCTGGGCAAGTCACTTAACCCCACTGCCTAGCCAAAAAGCTCAAAAAAAAAAAGGCAAAGCACTTTTTTAGCTGATAAGGAAGTTGAGATGAAATGATGCCCTCAGGCACATAGGTAGAATTAAAGCTGTATTGCACCTAATCTAACATTCAAATTTTGAAAATGACAGGTCATTGAGATCCATAGAGGTTATGGGATTTGCCCAAGTGATATAGGAATTAAGGGGCAGAGATGCATATTTGTTACATGGATTTTGCTTTTATTATTTTTAATTTTTTAGTAGTGGAGCAGGAAGGTCGATGGAGAAAAATTGTTAATAGAAAAGTAAAATACAATTTAGAAATAAGTATCATAAGATTCAAACCCAGGTCCCCTGTAAAGTCTAGCATTCTTTCCATGACATTACACTATCTACTTAATATCTATTCACTCTTTCAGCCAAACACAGAAGAAACTCTTAGAGCCCCAGAATGAGTGCTGAGAATCTTAATCACAGGTTTCTCTCTATCCAATTTGCTGAATGACCTTTAGCCAGTTATTTGACGTCTCTGATCCCTAAGTACTACTACCAATGAAATACAACTGACTATCCTGACACACAGAGACCTTAGCTGGAGGAGAAAAAGATGAGAAGGGGGTGAGGTAGATGGGCATATGACTGCTAGAGATCACTCAACTCTTGCTTGTCCATTTATCTTGCATCTTTAACTCTCCTGGATTTTTCCTGTCTCTCCTCCAAATCCCTGGTGAATTATACTAATTCTAGTTGAGACAAGTCCCCACCCTATAACTTCCCCCTAGAGAAGCCCATCTGTTCAAGAGGACAGGGTGAGTCAGAGTGAAAGAAGGGAAAGAGAGGGTCTCCAGAGTAATAGCAGAGAGGGACCCTTCAGGCTGGCTAAGCAGGAAATGGTCTGACATTCAGGCTACAGTGGCCCCAACCCCAGGAATACCCAGCCCCTGAATCATCCCTGCTCTAACCAACAAGAAGCAAGCAGGTGGGAAACATTCAAAGAAACTCAGGTAAGGCGCTCTTGGTTGGAGGGCCTCACACAGTCTGCTTCACAGCTTGGAAGAAAGGATGGAATTCCTCACACAGGGCCTTCCCCTATGGTTTGTAGGGACACAGAAGCCTCTCCCAGCCAGAGTGGTGGATTGAGAAGTGGTGTGAACTTGGAAGAGCTTATTAAATTTGCATATAAAAACCTCAGGCTCACCAGCTATGATAGATAGCTTAAGGTTAATTTGTACCTGATGAGATTTTTTTTTCATTTTCATCTGCAACAATTTATTTCAAATGTCCAACATGTTACTTTATATGTCAATGGCAATTGATGTTTCACAAATTTTAGTGAACTTGTGATTATATTCTTCAATCATAAAATAAATAAATATAAAACTCAAGCTACTAAGTGTGAGTACCAGCACTGGGAAGCTTCTGAATGTATAAAGTACTTGTCCTATTCATGTCTTTGTCCTCTGATTTATGATTGCGCCCACCTTCTAACTACTCTGTGCATATCCTCTATGTATCTAGTTATTTTCATGTTATCTCTCCCATTAGATTGGGAGCTCCTTGAGGGACATGTTTTCGTCTTTCTGCTCCCTTCGGTACAATGCTTGGCACATAGCTGGCATTTGTTAAATGTTTATGACCAGCTCACTTGTAATTAAAGGTTATGAGAATCTACATGTATTCAACTATTGGCATCACCAAGGAAGATTAACTCAACAAATGTTTTAAATAAATAAACATACTAAATAAGTGTACTAAATGTAATAAATGAAAGTTGGGGGGTGGTGGTGGAGGGAGAAGAGGGAAAGCTACAGTAATGGATTTAATTCAATTCCTTGTCTATAGTGAGCTGAACTCCCCTGTGGGAAGAATGTAGTGGTAGACAAGAAAGAAACTGGTTAACGAGAACTTTGAATGTCCCTAGAGGAACAGGAACAATTGGGATCCTAAGCCCTTCCACACTACATCCCCTGGCCTAGCTTCCTAGAGGCAGACCTGGCTAACACAGGATAGTGGGGGAAAGGAATGAGTTTTATATAATAGTTAGCATATATGCCGCATTTTAAGGTTTTTCAAAGCACTTTACAAATATTTTCTCATTTTATTCTCATAACAATAACCCTGGGAGGTAAATGCGATTATGATCCCCATTTTGCAGATGAGGAAAGTGAGGCAGACAGAGGTTAAGTGACTTGTCCACAGTCACACAACCAGTAAGTATCTGAGGTCAGTTATGAGCTCTGGTCTTCCTGACCCCAGGTCTAGTGATATATCCACCGCACCATCTACCTAGAAGGGAGCTCCACACATAAAAAGTTAGAAAACAACCTAGAATGTCAGCACAAGAGATCTAGGCAAGTGACATCTAGCTGTTTGCCAAAGATCACATAGCTAGTGCTTGGTATATAGCCAAAACTCAACCTCAAGTCCAGTGCCTTTTGTTTTATCATGTTTCCCAATACTCCCCAATCTGCTCCCAAATGCAGGCTTTGGGGAGAGGAGCCTATGGCACTCTCTTGAGGAATCTGGACTCAGGGACAGATCTTCCACTCACCTATGAGGATGAGTCGGGTCGTCTGAAAGAGCTGCTCATCATTCCAGGTGGGGTGCTCAGCTTGCAAGAGGTCACAGACACGGTTGTGTTCCCGAAGCCAGATTGTAGCATACATCATGAGGCCTGGGAGCAGCCCAAACACCTCCTGGCCCACAGCCATCTGTTGGGTTTCAGGCACATTTGCAGGGTACTTCATGTATGCGTGAGTCTCAGCCACTGATGGCGGATACATCTCCCCATCCACCATCTACAACAGAATCATCCATGGACTTGATCACCCATGGAAGGTCAGAGCTCATCTCCTCTAGCATCCTACCTAGAACAGGAGTCTCAGGAGCAATGCTGACAAGTGGCCTTCCAACCTTCTCCACTGGCAGGGAATTCAGTTTCTCCTAAGGCAGCCAGTCCTATTGCTGGACAGTTCTGATGATTAAGAAATCTTATGCTGTGCTCAAATCTGTCTCTGTTAACTATTTAAATTTCTGTCATGATAGCCTTGAAGAGATTTGAAGTCAGTTGCAATGTAACCTCTTCATCCATCAGGCAACCCTGCCCCTGTTCCTGCCCCTGAACCCACTCCATCTCCTCATTTTGTATACTGGACTCTCAGGGGTAGTGTGGAGAGGGGTAGGGGACCATAGGATCATTGGGCATCTCCACCTCCCAGCTGAACGCTTCTCACCCAAGGCACACCCAAAGGAAAGGAAGCCCTTTGCGCCTTAGAAGACTGATCCCACCCCCATCCCATACCAAACCTTCTGCACCTCCTTCTGGCCACTCCAGGGCAGGCAAGTGCTCAGACTTTATTTCTGAGAACCCCAGAACTACCTGAAACTTCAGCTTCCCATCCTCAAAGAGGTGGAGTTGGTGCTGGCGCTCCAGGCTGTCTCCATAAATGTGGCTAAGGTCCACCTGAAGAAACCAGAGAGGGGACTCACTGAACTCACTTAACTTGCCCCTAAATTAGGATTTTGGAGGGAGGTGAGAGCAAAATACAGACACTAAGGCCAAGGCAAGGGCTAGAGTCAACGACCCCATGGAGATTCTTCCAACCTGGGGGATCTGATAAAAAGTAAGCTGCCTGAGGGCCCATACCAGGTAGTTTGGTTTAAGTTTTTGGTCTTTTATCTCCAGTGCCTAATGTGCCTCGAACATTACTAAGTGCTTTTGATGGATTGGAATGATTGGAATTTCTGGAAGCATGAGATTGCACATAAGTGTGCACACATGCACAAAGGCATATATACATATACATACATGTATAAACACGAACACATGCATATGGTCGTGCATGTGCACACGTGAACACACATGGGCGTGTGCAAATACACATGGTGCACTCGTGTATACTGTAGACTCATATAAATACATGCATGCACACTCACATAGACACACATGCACACACGTACATAAAAATAGAAATTGGGGAGGGTAAAGTCACTTGTTTGTATTTGAAACCTTTAGCCTCATCATCATTACCAAGTCACATTTCAATAAAATTTCAGAGTCTACAAAGTGTCCTTTCTACAACTGCCCAAGGGAAGTAAGCACTTTGTAAGGATTATTAGCCTATGTCACAGATAAACAACTTCTCAGACAGATAAAGTGACTTCTCTACGGTCATATAGCTTAGAGCACTGAATCTGGAGTCAAAATCTGTTACTTCCCACCTGTGTGACCTTGGACAAATGATTTCTCCTCTCTAATCCTGTATTTCCTCATTTGCAAAATAAAAAACAAAAAACTCTTCCAACTCTAAATATGATGATGAGTGAGAGCCACAACGCAAACACAGGTTGCAGGGTCATAAAGACTTGAAAAGAACCTCAGACCTCACCTAACCTTAATTTTGTAGACAGGAAAACTGAGGGCTGGAGAGGGAAGCTTAGGTCCCATAGCTAGAAAGGAGCAAAGCCAGGATTCAACCTTGGGTTTTCTGATGCCAAATTCCACACTTTCTCACTACATTACACTGTCTCCCTATTTTCTAACTTTAAAGATTATTCCCACTCCAAAATGGACCTTGATGATAAAGTTCACTCCTCTCATTTTCCAACTGAGGAAACAGAGGCCCCAAAAAGAGAAATCACTGCTCAAGGTGACAAAGTCAGATCCTTTGACTAAAAATGCAGAGCTCTTTACATTAATTACTGCTGTTTTTAATAAGAGATGAAGAAAAAAAAAGAAAAGGACCTATTTGTACAAAAAATATTTACAGTAGCTCTTTATGTGGTGGCTAAGAATTGGAAATCAAGGGGATGCCCATTAATTGAGAAGTGGCTGAACAAACTGTGGTACATAATAGCGATGGAGTATTACTGTACTATAAGAAATGATAAGCTGCCTGATCTCATAAAAACCTGGAAAGACTTACATGAACTGATGCAGAATGAAATGAGCAGAACCAGGAGAACTGTATACACTAACAACAATATTGTATGATGAAGAACTGTGAATGACTTAGCTATTCTCAGCAATAAAATGATCCAAGACAATACCAAAAGCCTCATGATGAAGCATGCAATCTGCCTCCAGAGAAAGAACTGATATTGTCTAAATACAGAGTGAAGCATGCTATCTTTCTTTCTTTCTTACTTTCCTCCTTTTTTTGTCTCCTTTTATAAAATGACTAATATGGAAATGTTTTACATGATTGCACATGTATAACCTATATCAGATTGCTTGCTGTCTCAGGGAGGGACAGGGAAGGGAGGAAAGGAGAGAAGGATAGAATTTGGAACTCAAAACTTAAAAAAAAATGTTAAAAAATGGTTTTAACATGTAATTGGGAAAAATAAAATATTATATATTGAATATATATGTGTGTATACATAATTGTGAGAAATATATCCCCCTAAAAGTAGCCCTGGAATGGGAGTCAATGAGGGCAGGACCTAGTTGGGGCTCACCCCATGGCCCAGGGCTTTGGTGAAGCCAGGGCCCATCTTGCCAGCTGTCTTGAAGAATTGATGGGTGAAGTGCTGGGCAAAGAAGGCAAACATAAGATTGGTCCCAAGAGGTGAAGGCACAAACTCATTCCGCATCAGGAAGCGTTGAGCCAGCAACTCTGGGTCTGGCAGTTGTTTCTTCCCTGTGAGGAAAGGAGCCAGGGTGGGGCAGGTGAGGAAGTACCCATAATCTAGCCAACCAAAGGACATTGCCTGGTCTTTTCTCTTCCCTCAATACCTCAGTTGAGGGAATCACAGAATCTGAGAGTTGGATAGCCCCTCAGAGGTCCTCTAGAGCAAATGGCTCCTAAGCATTCTCTATAGCATCCTCAACAAGGGATGACCAAGGTTCTACTTGTAGATTATCAGTAAAGGGGAAACTCACTACTTCTCAAGGCATGATCCATTTCACTTTTGACCAATTCTGAGTGTTAGGGAGTTTTTCATTATGCTGAATTGAAATATACCTCTACTATGGCAACCTTTCTCCTCCCCCCTCCACCTCATCCTTCCCTACTAGTTTTGTCCTTGTGACCAAGTAAAAATCTAATCTCCCTTTCATATGATATCCCTTCAAATACTTGAAGAACTATATCCTGTCTTTTCTAAATCTTCTCTTTTCTAGGCTTAATATTCCAAGTTTCTTCAAATGATCCTCAGATGTCATGGTGTCACCATTCTGTTTGTCCTCCTTGGAAAGTCTGCCATACTGTCAATGTCCCCTAATATGCAGGACCCAGAACTCAACAAAGACAGGTTTTGACCAGTACAGAAGACAGTAAAACAACTATGTACTTCCCTTCAGTCACTACATCTCCATTGTGATGTGATGGAAAGAACTCTGGATTTGGGGTCAAAGCACCTGAGTCTGAACTCAGGCTCAGCTACTTCTTGGCCATGTGACCTTAAGAAAGTCACATAAACTCCCTAGTCCTCAGTTTCTTCATCTATAAGTATAGGAATTGAACTAGATGACCTCTGAGGGCCTGTCCAGCTCTAAATCTTATGACCATAATATAGCCTAAGATTGAGGAGACCCTTATCACTCACCACTGGCCCCTGGGTTATTATCATTACCACCCCGCCCCAAGCCAAAGAGTTACCTTTGACCCCCATGGGAGTGGGACAATCTTCAGGTACAGGAGCTAGTACCCGAGTATAGAAGCTCAAATTTGAATAGGACTCCCAGCTGATGTAGCCATGTTCCGAGGTGTAGGTAGGTGGGCTGGGAATCTTGTTTGCTTGAACTTTGGGAGGAGAGGGACAGAACAATCACTTAGGCATATAGGCCTTCAAGCCAATACCCTTAGGGATTCTCCATAGAAGAGAGAGACAGGACCCTTGTGGGCAGAGCACACCCAGTGGAAAGGGGAAGGGGGACAGACAGACAACCCTTGACCTCAGAGAGCTGCCAAGGCTGATAAGGAAGACAGGCCCTCCCCTCCAGGAAGAACACTGCCCCGTCTGAAGGAGGAGATAGAGGACACAAGGTGAAGGGAACCCCAAGGTTCCAGCCTGGCTCATAAAGTTTTATCTGCCATCAAATTGTCTCCAGTATTCATTTCTGCTGAGCCTTATCAGATGCTCTGAATTCGTTTCACTTAGTGAGACAGGACATCTTGGTTTGATGTAGGATCCAGCAGCCCCCTTTCCCAAACCTTGGTTTGATGTAGATTATGGGTACTTCCTCACCTGCCCCACCCTGGCTCCTTTCCTCACAGGGAAGAAACAACTGCCAGACCCAGAGTTGCTGGCTCAACGCTTCCTGATGCGGAATGAGTTTGTGCCTTCACCTCTTGGGACCAATCTTATGTTTGCCTTCTTTGCCCAGCACTTCACCCATCAATTCTTCAAGACAGCTGGCAAGATGGGCCCTGGCTTCACCAAAGCCCTGGGCCATGGGGTGAGCCCCAACTAGGTCCTGCCCTCATTGACTCCCATTCCAGGGCTACTTTTAGGGGGATATATTTCTCACAATTATGTATACACACATATATATTCAATATATAATATCACAGACTAACTGGAACTCAAAGCCCAGACCCACCCCAAATTCATAATTTCCTTTAAAGCTGCTGTCCTCTGCACCAATATAGTCACTCTAGACCCAGTACTTACCCACTGACCTCCTTGGGTTAGAAGGAGTGTTGACAGTCAATTGGGGTAGAGAATTCAAGCGCTCTGGCTCTATTTTCTGATAGTCTATGTCTTAAAGTCCCTTCCAGTTTTATCATTCTAATTTCTCCAATTTTAACTTTCTAATTTCTAACATGGTTTGCTCTGAGATACCTTTCAGATTAAAAACTATGATCTATATCTTAACACTTTATTTTCAAAGTTCCCTTCCAGCTCCTTTTAGGTATGAACAACAGATACTCATGGATGGAGATCTCTCCAAGGTATGACAGGGGTTGGAGCAGAGACATACCTGTAAGCACAAGCCTCATGAGAAAATCTCGTAAGAAGGTAGAGTTGATAATGTTCCAGATCCACCGACCATGGGTCAGGATGAAGTGGTAGAAGGAAGGACTGGGGCGTAGGGCTTCCCGGATTCTAGTCCATAGCTCCGCTGGCGTGGGAGGGGGTAGGAGGCAGAAAGCTCATCAGATACCCTTCTCCCCAGGCTCAGAGGGATGTGGAGATGCAAGAGGGCAGGAAGGATAGGGAGTCAAGGAAGGAAGGGGAGGTGAGGCAAAGATGATAAAGGATGGGGGCACAGGGAGCAGTACTCATGGGTGGTGCAGTTGGGGCCATGGTAGCCAGTTCGCGTGCAATCACATTGGTAGTGGTTTAGGCCAAAGCGCACACAGACACCTTTATGTTGACATGGGAAATAGCAGCAGGGATTCACTGTGGGGAGATAGGATACATAATTGTTTAAAAAAGAAAAGCTTCTCTGAGGACTCCATAAAATAGTCCCCAATATCTTACCAGTGACCAACCTCCAGAAGACTCAAAGTGCCCAGGCAGTATGTCCCCCATGTTCTCTCCCCTGACAAGTGCCACAGCAGCACTCACCCCTCCTTTACACAAGTACATAGGATCATGTCAATTAGAGCTGAGAGGAGATATAAATGGCACCTAGTTCACCTGCCTCTTTTTATAAATAAGAAAGCTAAAGCCCAGAGAAATTACATAATTTTCCCAGTGTCACAAAAATAATAAATAGCAGAGTCAGGCTTCAAACCCAGGTCCTCTGACTCCAAATCCATAATGCCAGATTTTCCCCTGCCCTCCCCCAACTCAATGCTGGTCCTCTCTGAGAGGAATCTGCCAGGGCCCCAGCCTTCCTTCTTCCCACCTCATAAACCATCCTGATACCACCTGCTTCTCACCTACCTCCCCCCCACCACCATATATTCAGGCATCCAAATTATCTGACAAGGAACGTGGTGGAACCAATCCTGAGTAAAACCACTAATGCTTTCATCTGAGTTTTTGTGACATTGATGTTTGGTAGGTCTCTTATATGTCTGACCAATCCTTTTTTATTTTTCTTTACAGATCCTTACCCATATCATACCCTTATTCATGAGTTTATCCAAGGCTTCTGTCATGGGCCCCTATTCTTTCTCTAGCCATCATCTCTTGGTGATCATATCAGCTTCCATGGCAACAACTCATCTTTACGCAAACAACTGTCATATCTGTACATCCACACCTCCTTTTTCTCTTGAGTGAGAAAGTCTGGTTACAGTTTCGCATCTCCAACTCCTTATTGGCCAGTTCCAGATTGATGTCCCACAGACATCTCAAATTCAACATGTTGAAGAACAATGTCAGACCCATTCAAGATGACTGCCTGGAGGCAGCCTGATGCCCACATAATCATTCCCACAAAAAGCTAAAGACACCACACCAGAAAATAACAAATGTAGGAGGGGATGTGGGAAAATTGGAATACTAATGTGCCATTTATGGAGTTGTGAACTGATCCAATAATTCTGGAGAACGATTTCGAACAATGCCCAAAGGCTATAAAACTGTGCCTACCCTTTTACCCAGCAATACCACTACTGGGTCTGTATTCCAAAGATAGCCAAAAAAAAAAAAAAGATGGGGGGAGGACCTCCTATACGTACAAAAATATTTATAGCAGTTCTTTTTGTGATTACAGAGAACTCAAAATTGGGGAAATGTTCATCAAGTGGGGAATGGCTGAACAAGTTGTGGTATTTGATAGTGATGGAATACTATTGTGCTATAAGAAATGATGAGCAAAATGCTTTCAGAAAAACCTGGAAATATCTACATGAACTGATGCAAAGTGAAGTGAGCAGAATCAGGAGAAAAGTGTACATAGTAACTGCAATATTGTACAATGATCAACTATGAATGACTTTACTATTTTCAGCAATACAATGATGTAACATAATTCCAAAAGACTCATGATGAAAAATGCTGCACTTCCATAGAAAAAACTGATGGAGTCTGAATGTAAATCAAAGCACCCTTTTTGAACTTTCTTTATTTTTCTTGTCTTTTTGGGGGGAGCTCTGTGTTTTCTTTCACAACATGATGAATATCAAAATATATTTTGCATGAATGGACCTCTATAACCTATACCAAATGGCTTGTCTTCTCAATGAAGGGGTAGGGAAGGAGAGAATTTGGAACTCAAAATTTTTAAAAATGAACGTTAAAATATTTTTACATATAATTGAAATAAATAAAATGTTTTTAAAAATCACACCAGACCAAATGATGATCAAGAAATCTAATAAGAAACTACAGTGGATAACATCTTTTCCTCCAGAGCTACACCCATAACCCACAGGCAATAGGAAAGGGGGCTGCAAGAAAAGTCAGCATCAGTGCAGACAAACAAGATAGTAATTTACCAGTATGATCACAGATTAGCCAGAAACGTGTGTATACCCAGCAAGGTTCTATATCCAGAGGCAACACAAAAAAAATACTCTCACAAGAACTCTCTGTGTGGGGTGGAGGGATGGAAAACCACCAACAAGGAGCTTGGAGACAACCAGAAGTGGCAGTGATCAGTCCAGCCATGGCAGTAAGGCTCAGACCAGAATGCCCCAAGACCAAGAGTTCCAAGGTCCCTAAAACTCTGACCTGAGATACCATAAAGGGCCCTGAAAATCCAGTAATCTGAATCTTTGAGGTCCAAGAAGACTTAAACCAGGAGGCAGAGATCAGGTAACTAGATGACACAGTGGATAGAATGCTGGGCCAGGAGTAATAAAAACTTGAGTTCAAATCTGGCCTCAAACACTTACTAGCTTGTGTGACCTTGGGCAAGTGACTCAATCTTGGTTTATCTCAGTTTCTTCAACTGTCAAATGGAGATAATAACACTTACCTCCTAGGATTGTTGTGAAGATCAAATGAGATAATATTTGTAAAGCACTTAACACAGTACCTAGCACATAGCATGTGCTATATAAATATTTGCTGCTATTGTTATTATTATTACTATTATTATTATTATCACAGTAGGGACCCCTATTGACCCGAGTCAAGACCAAGATCAAGAAGGGCTGACTACCTCAACTAAAAGAATAGTAGATTATGGATCCTGGACCTAGTACAAAGCCCAAATTCAGAAATTAAGGCTAGAGACATAGCTTCTGGGAGGTCATTCTATTTTGACTCTCCCTCACCACCAAGAACCCTAGCTGGACCTACCCAGTTCTACCTGGCACCACATTCTCACTGGTTTGGAGGGGTAGTGAGTACAGAAGGAGAGGAAGAAAGAGGCCAAGAAAACAGAACATAAAAACTTGGAAATTTTTAAGTGTGCAGTAAATCATAGGCTGTCAAAGCAAGAAAGAACTTAAAAAGTCATCCTAACCATTCTCCTGATTCCCATTCACAGGTCTAAATGACATTTAGAAGCAAACAACATTTATGCCCATGTGAGGCAGTGGGAAATTCACTAGCTTTGTAGTCAGAGAAGCTGGGTTAGAAGCCCATTTGGTAGCATCACTTAAAACTGTGATGTTTGACAAATTACTTCACTTCTGGGCCTCAGTTTCCTCATCTGTAAAAATTAAAAGATTAGACTACATTTGCCTAAAAGTATAGATCATCACCTAAGATCACTACTCTAGCACTGGAAAGAACCTTATTGGACATTTCACCCAAACTCCTCATTTTACATTTAAGGGAACTGAGACCCAAAGAACTATGAAATGATTTGTCCAAGGTCATAAAGCAGCTTACTAGTAGAGCTGGACCTAGATTTTGGTGCTTGAGTCTCATAACCCAGTGATCTTTCCATTATCAGCAGACTCAGGCTTCTTTCTTATTTTGCCAGGGTTTGGAAGATATTACATTAAGGTGATCACATCTAACTCATAGAGGATAGAAGAGATATCCTGGAGTGTGGTTTGGGGGAGGGACTACTGGGGGATTAAGTGTGAATCCACTGACTTCTGGTTAATGATGGTAGAGGAGACTAGCTCTCACTTCTGTACTCCAGCAAAGATTTTAAAAGAATATAAGACCAAATAATGATCAAGAAAGAGGTCCTGACCAAAAAAAAAAAAAAGGCAGTAAAAGTTAAGATAAGCCAAACACCTTCAGCATAGACTGAAGATTCTCCAAGGGGCACCTGGAGCCTACAACATTCTGTACTTTGGTTCAGGATGACTAAAGTGCTCAGACGAGAAAGACTCAGGGCAGTAGGAAGCCCTCAGTATTCTGACAGTGAACAGCTCTCAGACCAGGACACCCCAAGGGTTTTGGCAGTTCACTGTCCTATGATCTGAGATGTTCCAAAGAGCCCTAAATACCTCAGTACTCTGAACTTAGTTGGTCTAGGGGGGGACTACATGAAACCTACCAGGGCTCTGAATGCATAAGAAACCAAGTCAGGACCAAGCAGGACCCCACTACTCCGTCTAAGGGTGCAAGTTGAGCCTGGACCTGATAAAAAGTCATAAATTAGGAACTGAAGCTGCAGAAATGAGTAAACAGATGAAGATACTGAATGCTATGAGGAAATAGTATGGATCCTGAGATGGTCAAAAAATAAACCCACAAGGAGAGAGTACTTCCACAACAACCACAAAGCCTCAGGGGGTGGGGGTGGGAGATGTCTCAGCCCCAAGAACTTAAAAAATACCTGGAATAATTGAAGTAACAGAGAAAATGAAATTACAAATGAAATAATAGTCCTAGGGGAAAGAAGTAGAAACAATAAAAAGCTTAGAAAAGAAGGTAGAAAACCTAACCAAAACAAGAAAGTCTCTAAATATTAGAATAGATCAGACAAAAATCACTGGCTTTATGAATTAACAAGAAATACAAGGTGTTCCAAAATTTTAGTGCAGTTTTAGGCTATTAAAGTTTAACATATGACTATCTCATAGCTATTAATGCATAAAACTGCACTCAGATTTTTAAAGTTATTTTTAATGTTATTAAGCTAATAGTCTTTTTTCTTTTCTTTTTTTTAATTAATTAATTAATTTTTAGTTTTCAACATTCACTTCCATAAGCTTTTGAGTTTTATATTTTCCCTGCCTCCCCATCTCCCTCCGCAAGACACTGTGCAATCTGATATAGGCTCTATATATACATTCCTATTAAATATATTTTCACATTCGTCATGTTGTAAAGAAGAATTAGAACCAATAGGAAAATCCACAAGAAAGAAGAAACAAAACAAAACAGAAAAAAAGAGTAAATAGTATGCTTCAATCTATATTCAGGCTCCGTAGTTCTTTCTCTGGATATGGATAGCGTTTTCCTTCATGAGACTTTTGAAGATGTCTTAGATTCTTGCATTGCTGAGAAGGATTAAGTCTATCAAAGTTAGTCATCACACAATGTGGCTGTCATTGTGTACAACGTTCTCCTGGCTCTGTTCACTTCACTCAGCA